AAAAATGAAGAAAATACTAATTTAAATGAATCTATAGATATTTCTGACCCTAGAAATTGAGATTCTTTTGATATTAAATCAAGAGATATTCTAATTGAAAAAGGGCCAATAAGAGAAATGAATCTTCTGTTGATCAAGAATTAATTTGGAATTAATTTAGTGATCAAAAGAGACTAATTAAATTTGCAGAGACTGATTATGTAAATCAGTGATATTTATAGTTTGGGTTAATGATCCATGTTGATTAGGATTGGACTAAATCTTTGTGAGAATCCATGAAGAGTTAGTCCATAAGGCTAATGGGTTAATGGATTAAAAGCCCAAGTGAATTAGGGTTTACAAGTTGAAACCCTAGGAATTCCAAACTATAAATTAAACCCCTAAGCTTGCAAAATCGACCACTAGTACTCCAAGGTGAAAACCTAGCCATTTTTTGATGCTCCTAACCTCTATCTCATTATTCTCCACTTGTTCATGGTGTTTGTGACTTGTGTGAAGCATCCCACTTGGGGTGCTAAGCTCTTGAAAGGCCAAAACTCCACAAGCTACAACAAGTGGTATTCTTCTAACTAATTATTAGTTTTTATGTTGTAAATCTCAAATTGTATGCTAGTCATAGGTTTCATGCTTTGGATAATTTTTATTGCATGTATAACTAGAGAAAACTTAGATCCAAAGCATTAGGGATGTATGTGCACCATAAGAGTGTTATAGTATATAAAACCCAACAGTGGTATCCGAGCCATGGGTGTTTTCTGTTATATAGATGCATTACTTAATTGTTCAAATCTGGAAAAAGTCGACAAACTACACTCTGAAAGAGGGACTCGACGAGTCCATACATGAACTCGACGAGTCCATAATCTGACTCGACGAGTCGAATAGCCTGTTTGCAGATTTTCGGGGTTTTTGACCAAAATTGGATTTGGATCATTACCTTAAACAGTTTTGTATCATAAAATCTATTTTTTCTGATATGGTAATGGTTATCCCATCGAATTAAAAGATAGTTGTCAAATTTGAAGATAATTGTGAGTTTGAAACTATCTTGCTATAAGAGTTGCATTAGGTCAAATTTGTAAGAGATAAAAAAATATATGATAATTTTATTAGTTTAAAATTTGATCTAAATGTTTTGAAGAGTTACAAAACTTGTCTTTAAGTTTTGGAATTCTAAATTTTTTTTGAAGAGTTACAAACTTGCCATCAAATTTTGGAACTCAAAAGTTTTTTAAGGATTTACAAAATTAAGTCCATAAGTTATGGAATCCAAAGGTTTTCAAGAGTTGCATAACTTGCCCTCAAGTTATGGAATATGAAAAGTCTCATTCATGAAAACATTAACTCTTGTAATTGAAATGTTTCAAAAGATGCAACTCTTAGGTTCATACCTTAAAAATTAATTAAATAGTTTTTTTAATTTTGAATTTTTATATTTAGCACCTTGATGTTTTGAATAGTTCAAATTACATCTTTATGGATTTCATTAAATTAATTAAATGTTTAATTAAATGAGAAGACTAATAAATCGATAATCAGATGGCTTAAGTTTAATTAAATTAAGAGTATAGTTTAATTAATAGATTAAACCACAAAGTATTTTAAAAGTTTAAAATACAACCTTATACTATATAGAATTAAAAGTTTAATATGTTATATATGTATAAGTTAAAACGACAGTCTTACCGTTAGTAGGCCTCATTCACGAAGCTGGTCTATAAGGGGTGTTTAAGGAAGTGGCCTATAAAATGACCGCCATTGGGTATCCATTCTTACCCACCGCACCCTTGACCAGTGGAGGATTGTTAGCTGAACGGGTTTGACAGGACACTTAAATCCTCATTAAAAGTATAATGAAATACAAACTAACTAAACACTTTATAGATTCCCAATCTTAGTTACTTTAGGAAAAATGTGAATTTGGTGCTAATCCATGAAATTGCACATTACACCTTATTGGTCAGTTAGTGGAGCGTGTGTGGTTAACCGACATACTAATGTGGACTAATGAAGGATGGCCTTGGGTTTCTCGTAAATTATCATTGATCAATGGAGCGTGTGTGGTAAACTGGCACATTGATTAGGTGATTAATGACATCGAGAGTACCAAGCTAATTTGCATTGTTATTCACACCTTGTTTGTGATCCTCACTATCCCAGTCACAAACTTGAAGGGCATCATCGAGATTAAACATGCCATTGAAAAGTTCAGTGAATCTCAAAAGAATCTAGGAATTTCAATTCATTTAAAACCCAATATATTTTTCATTTTTCATGGTGGAAATTGGCAAATCGTCATTTACCTACCTTCAAATATTTTGCAATTGGATTGCGACATCCCTCTTCCGAATTGCAGAATATTGTGTTGGGTCCTATCCTTAATACTCCATTTTGGGTGTTATATTAAGGACTTAAATCAATTAACTTGAATTTCTACCTTATAGATGTCCAACTCTAACAACTATGGTCTTCCCGAATCTTTTGAAAATAGCTTCCCTCATGAAGATGATGTTCCACGCTTCGATCATGAAAATGGAAATCATTCTTCACTTCCTCCACCTCCTCCAATTATTCTCCCTGACCCACATGTTCGTTGACTTGAAAAGTTCAAGATCACTCAAGCCCTATTGGCAAGAAAACATGAAGATGGAAAGTTTGTATGTGCTTACATCTTGGACATAAAGCTGCAAATTTACAGGCTGGGAATGTTGGGTGTCGTGTTCCCAAGGAAGCTGGCTGTTGACTTGGTTCTTCATTCACTTCCTAAATCATATAGTGAGTTTGTTAAAGACTACTATCTGACAGACCACGATGTGACCCTTATCGATCTTACTTATTTGCTTATTGCTGCTGCATCAGCAATGATTCGGCGCACAAGTAAAGCAAATATGATTGGAAGATCTAGTTCCCAAAATTCCATGGACATTGACAATGGAAACATTGGAAGTCCAGAAAAGTATTCTCTTCCCAATGGAAAGGGATCGGCCATGGTCGAACCATTAGACCAAATGGTAAAGAGAAATGCTAAGTCTGAGATTGTCCTGTGTGCCAATACAAAAGAGTCTGTTTGTTACTACTCCGAAGAGAAGGGGCATTGGTTGCGAAGCTGCCTTATTTACCTGAAGGATCACAAGGATGGTAAAGTCAAAGTGTTTGACTCTGGTTCAGGTAAGTCCACTATCTAACTCTATTAAGTTCCTATTTGAATATTATTAATACATGATGTGATGAGATTTCATTTTGATGTTTTGTAGGATCGAAGAAAAGAAAGGAAGCTTAAAGGAAAAGCATGTTGAGTCTGATCACGAAGAGATGGATTTCAATCGCATGATTCGATGATCAGATTTGTGAGTTGCTACTTAGGAGTTATGATAGATTGCTCAGAAATATGTAGTGACATAGTTTTCATTTGTAATTGCATTGTAAGGACAAGATATTCCGCAATTTTAATAAATAAAGAAAATTTTGATTTGATTTTATTTTATAATTCCTTACAAATGTATGACAACTCGAAACTTTCCAGGCATCGAAAAATCAAGTTTTTCTTCAAAAATCATACAAATCTCGAGCAACCAGGTGTTCACGGCCGCAATCGTGTTCACGGTCGTAAACCCTTCACGACCGTGAACCGTGAACGGTTGTGATAAAGCTAAAATCCTTAATGATTGAATCGATTCTAAACAAGTATGATATGAACGTGAAGAAAAGTAAGAAGACATAATGAATCAATGAATATTGCGAATGATTAACAGTCACGCCTCAGAAGAACTCTATGAAGAATTGCTATTGTAGAGGCGTGCTAGGGTTTACAAGAATATCTCTATCAAAACGTTAACTGATCTATGGTGCATGCATGAACTATTAATACTTAAACCCTAATTAATGACACGGCTTGGACAGACCCAATACCGAATACAAAATAACTAAACCCAATGACGCAATCTATTATACCCAACAATCTCCCCCTTTGAGTCAATTGAGGCCCGAACCCTTCAGCCTTGGATTTGCTTCTGTACATCATACACCTTCGGAATAATAGCATAAATCACTTGGCGTATCTCGACGTACCAAAGAACCATATCTGAGAAGCACTTGATATCATCTTTCTTGTTGCCTTTGTACTTGCTCACTTGGTCCAGAATGTACTCAAGGAAGTTTGTGGTGTAGAGATGCTTATCAGTGAGATAGAAACATCCTTTGCGGTAATCTGCTCCAGTTCGTTGCCTAGTAGAGTAAACCACAAACCAATCTCCACTGTAGAGCTTCCCTGGCTTCAACTTTTCAAAATCCTTGGGAGTTTCTTTGGGTACAGCAGAGGGCTACTTTTTCAGAATTGCAACAACTTCAACATCCATTTCTCCAATCTCCTGGATGTATGACTTTATCATGAGCTTGAGATGAGACATGACAGGTTCATATTTCTATTTATCCTTCAACAAAACATTGTAAAGGGTGAACTAGTCATATGGATTGAGACATGAAAGATCTGCGGGTGTAAACTCGTAGCATTGACTGGCTGAACCTCGTGCCACTTTGAACTTAGCATTTGGAAAGCTATCAGTCTCAATCGACCCTGTAACCTTCACACCAGTGATTTTGCTCAATGACCATGTCTCGTCTTGAGGCTTCATATGCTTCAGATAAAACGAAAATAGCATATGATCAGCCCCACTGTATGTGAATGGAGCATTGGCAACTTTAACAAACGAACGAAATCTGAAGGCTTTTGGAGTAATTGGCAGATTCAGCTGTGAGTCTCGTGTGTTCTGAAGATCAAACAAAACTACTGGTTCTAACCAATACTGACTTGGAAGATCAACAACATCGCGCTGGATTCGCTTCAGAGTCCATTTTGGGAACAAGAGCTTTTTGCTCTGAAGAGTAGTCTGTGCTTCTTTTTCAACCCTTTCTTTCTCTTCCGCTTCACGGATGATTCGCTGGTGCTCATCCAATTCAGCTTCACGAACCTTTCTCCTTTTTAGTTCACCTTCAGAAAGCTCTTATTCGTCTTCATTCTCAATAATTGGGTCATCACGAAACAACTTTTCCTTGCCTTTAGGTTCGTTTTTGAGAATAGGCTTGACAGGAGCAGTAGGACCTATTTTTCTTGATACACCAGCCACTCTTTCTCCCCCTTGTTTTGGATGAAAGGATTGATTATAAATTCCTTCAAGGCGGTGAAGCATGGCGAAGACTGGCTTTAACTTTTCATCCAGATGCTTACGCATGGTGATGGTGATCATTGAATCCTTGGTCTCAATGATATCCGAGATCATGCTAGTAACATCAGTTATACAACTTCACATGAATGCCCTCTCAGATAACAGATCATGGACCTGCTTCTCCGAAGCTTCAAGTTTGGTACTTAATACCTTGGCTTCTTCTGACTTGAGAGCGAGAGAGTCTTTCAGAGTGATCTCCTTCACCAGGTCGTCTTTAAGTTGAGAAACTTGAGACGAGATAGCAGCTTGGAAGGATCATGGTCAGTTTTAAGACCGCTACGAATCTCTTGGAGTTTCGTTTTCTTAGTCTTGAAGAGAGAGCCCAGACTCTTCAAGGCTTCGTTTGCTGAAGAGGTGTTAGTATTGAAAGTAGTTTGGAAGTTCTACATGAAGGAATCAGTATCACCAATTAGTTTATCGACTTTTTCGATCGTTGACTTGCAAACTTCAGCGGAATCGACAACAACTTTATTATAAGATTTAACAGTAGTAGAGTGTTGCTTCGAAATTCGCTCAAAAAGAGATTCTACAGCTGCTTTCGCATAGGCATCAGAAGAGGGAGCTTTAGCAGAGAGAATCAGTTGGTCAATCTTTTCATGGAAGGACCGCAATTGCCCTTTCGTGATTTGCGCCTCATCTTCACTCTCAGTCCGAATTTGGAAGGGACTGTAAGTAAAACCACCAATAACTTCGTCTTCGTCATCACAGAAAACCATTTCTGGGTCATTACGGTTAAGTGGGGAAATGGGAGGTGAGACATGAGTGCAGAAACCTGAAGTTTGAGCCCCCGTATCAGATACGTTGACCAAAACTAAAGGTTGGATTGAGGTAATGACTACACCTGAAGTCCTTGCCCCCGCATTAGATACGTTGAAATTGACGAGAGGTTCGCCTGTGGTAGTGGTGGTAGTGGTTTCTGTGTAGATGGGCGACGACTGAGTAGTAGATGTGGTTATTTGAGAAATAACAGGTAGTGGTTGTAATGAAATTGGTGGTGGTAAAGGAGCGATGGTAATTCGAATAGTAGTGTGAGGAGGAGAAGGAGGTGGAGTTGGAACAGAGTCATTTAAAGGTACCTCTTGATATGGGGAAGGTGGAGGCGAGTCACCATGAAGCGAACCCACAGATTGAGAACTTTCGCTGTCGCTTGAGTCTTCTTTAGCTGGATCAGAAGGAATGTACTCATGATCGATTGATGAAGATGAGTTGGGCTGCAGGGTCATCTTTCTGAGCTTTCGCTTCTTTTGAGCTGGAGGGGTTGCATCTTGAGTTTTTCACTTCTTAGGAGTTTGAGCTTGAGAAGATTGACCTTCTTGAACCCCTTTCTTCTTAGTTCCCTTCTTTCCTCCCTTTTTGGGTTTATCAGCTTCATCGATGGAGCGTTGCATCTCAGCAGTAAGTTCCCTAGGACCCGAAACATGATTCTTCTTGTATTCAACGAGAATCTTGCTAGCCCCAGAAACACACCTGTACATAGTCTCCGGAATAGAGCAAAACCTAGACTTTGAGACTGAGTGTTTCTTATCGAGAACTTTAAAGATGATCTTTTCCTCCTCCTTGACATACTTAGTAGATGAAAAGGCCTTCGATAACAGTGACATTGGAACACATTCAACCTTGGTTAAGGAAGTAACCAAAGGTGAATAATTCAAGCACTCGACAATGGGAAGCATGTACGGATCATATTTGTACGGAGCCAAGTCGAGGATCAGGTTCTGGTTGGGCTTGATGGTGAGGAAAGACGACTGAGCAGTGTGTTCTTGAACAGATGAAGAATCGGCCATTGTTGTAGGTTTGAGAAGAAGAAGATGAATCGTAAGAAAAATCGCCTTTAGTGTTCTTGAGAGTATTGAGAGTGGTAAAGAAAAATAAGGGATGTGTGGATGCCCTTTATACGATTTAATAGGAGAGAGAAAGAGTTGTATGATGATTCTGTGATTGTCTCTGAAAAGACGCCTGAAAAAGCGCGATTGGACAACTGTTACTCCGAAAAAGGTGTCAGGCGGCGTGATGATAGGAACCGTTTCAAATTCACTCGCCTTAAGATTTTAAATCTTATCCATTCCTCCGCCTCTTCATATTTTACCCTAACGCTTCATATTCCAAGTAAATAATTTGAGCATCTCTCGCCTTTTGAAATACAAGACCACCATATCACCGAGAAGCGAAACTGTGAATCTGAAAAACACCATAAGTACCACGAACTAGATTTTTGGAAAATCATAAAGATCTTCGTGCAAGACTGTGCCAAAGAAAACGAAATAAAGCAAAGTATATATGTGGGATTTAGTGATGTCATATATGACACGAAATTGAGGATCCCGGGCACGAATCTCTTCCTTCAAAGTCAAGAGAGACTGAGAAGTGTCTGTGTGGTTTCCCATTGAAGTACGATCAAATGTTTGTTAAGAAACATTGAAAGGCATCTTTTTAAATTCAGGTTTGTGAGGTGGCTTTCGCTTCAACCAAACTACGAACTTGATATAAGACCGAAAGTTGGATAAGTACTTGTGTGGCCAGTGTAGCCCATAACATCAAGTAGGTTTGATAATTTTTCAGTGACTTGGAAACATGTTAGAAATCTCAAAAAAAAAAAAAAAAAACAAAACTGGATTTTTTGGGAAGAAATGTATTAGTTTTAGACAATTTCATAAAGATCTCTCAAAAATAAAAGAGATTCCGTGAAACACCAAACAAATGTGATCAGCGTTAGTATGTTGGTGAAAAACTAGAACAATCAATTGTTCACCGTCAATTCATTAAAGGTCTTGGATTGTGGATTTCACTCAGCACGTGGTAAAACGAAATTAAGATCATCAACACAGATGTTGTGTAACCATAAACCTCAGTGGTAAATGCTGAGAGTGTCAAGGGTCACACTGATGAAACGAAATTGATAGAGAAAAGTGTTGAGGTGGTATAAGAAACGAATGTACCTCTGCTATGCGAAAGTTACTGAGCAGATAACTCTTAACTCATTGTGAGAAGAGTAAGGTAGCTCATGACTTAAGTGAATTTAGCAGCCTGATTGGGAAGAAACGATTTGTATATACCGAATCAATAAGGCTTCACTTTAGAGTCGTTGAGGCTTTTAGACAACATACAACAACATGCTTCTAGGGACACATAAATAGAGGATGTTATACCTGCCCTTTCACACGAAACGTTGCCTCCATGATCATCTGAAAATATTTTTGGGTTTTTGTAATATGTGAAAATGAAAGAAATAGATAACACAAAGAAAATATTTTTGGATTTTAAGAATTTCTAAATAAACAAAAGGAAAATATTTTTTTATTTTTGAGTTTCAAAATAAAATGAAATGAAAATATTTTTGTATATTAATTTTCTGGAAAACAATAAAAACAAAAAGAAAAATCTTTTTGGATTTTCTGAAAATAAATAAAAACAGAAAATATGCGAAACAAACTTTTAGAATGCATAATATACAAAGGATACAGAACTTCCAAACCACGAGTAAGAAGTAATGTCACTAACCAACCATTCACTTTAAAAAGAAAGAATGAAGCGAAAGCGAAAGTGGGTGATATTCATGGAAGCGAAGGTGGTTTCGGAACCGAGTCAGCTTCCATCATTCCTAAGCCTTGGAGTATTCTATTAAAGGTTGCTTCAGGAAAGGCTTTCGTGAATATGTCAGCTAATTGATCAGCAGATCGAACAAAACGAATCTCGACATTTCCATCTTCCACATGATCCTTGATGAAGTGATACCTCAGTGCGATGTGTTTTGTTTTTTAGTGTTGCACTGGGTTGTGACATATACGAATTGCGCTTTCAGAGTCACAGTAAAGTGGGATTCGCTTCATGTTCAGTCCGTAGTCTCTTAATTGACTTTGAATTCATATAACCTGTGAAGTGCATGATGCTGTAGCGATGTACTCAGCTTCGGCTGTGGATAAGGATATACATGTTTGTTTCTTAGACTGCCAGCTGACGAGTTTGCCATCGAGAAATTGACAACCGCTAGTGGTGCTTTTTCTATCCAACCCACATCCTCCAAGATCAGCGTCTAAGAATGATTGAACAAAGAATCTTGATTTCGCTGGATACCATATACCAAGAGATGAGGTTCGCTTCAGGTATCTAAAGATGTTCTTGACAGCCACCATGTGAGGTTCGCATGGATTTACTTGAAACCTGGCACAATAACAAACAGAAAATATAATATCTGGTCGACTAGCTGTTAGATACATCAAAGAGCCTATCATTTGACGATAGAGAGTCATATCAGCAGCCAGTTTTTCTAGAGATGGTGTTAGTTTCGTTCCGAATGCCATTGGAACCTTCACTCTTGAGTCTCCCATCATTCCAAACTTGGTCAGTAAGGTCTTTGTGTAAGATTCTTGATTAATGAAAATGCCTTCTGGTCCCTGTCTTATATTTAGTCCAAGGAAAATGTTAATTGGACCCATGGAACTCATCTCAAACATAGTCTCCATCAATTTTCTGAATTCAACTGTTAAGCTCGGATTTGTAGAACCAAAGATGATATCATCGACATAAATTTGGACGATCATTAAGTGGTCACCCTCTTTTTTGCGAAAGAATGTTGGGTCAACCGAACCTTCTTTAACTTTGGATATTTTAAGAAAGCGAGTTAGAGTTTCATACCAGGCCCTTGGCGCTTGCTTTAAACCATAATCTGCCTTGTCCAAAATATAGCAGTGATTGGGATACTTCTCGTTCACAAAACTCGGTGGTTGCTCAACATATACGATTTCTTCTAACTCTCCTTTCATGAATGCACACTTGACGTCCATCTGAAATACCTCAAAGTTTTTGTGTGCTGCATATGCTAGAAAGATTCGAACGGATTCTAACCTTGCTACTGGAGCGAAAGTCTCTTCATAGTCAATCCCTTCTTCCTGGCAGTATCCTTTCACCACAAGTCTCGCCTTGTTCCTTATTACATTTCCTTCTTTATCCATCTTATTGCGAAATACCCATTTCATAGGTAGGATCCAGTTCAACATTTACTTCTTCGAATTCTGATTGAACATTCGAATCATCATTCGTATTGTGATTCTCCCCCT